CCCCCCCCCCCCCCAAACCAAATAATTTGTGAGGCCTATTTTGGTTTCTTAATCGTCCAATATAATTAATAAAAAATCATTTCAAAGAAATAGAAGGTTAAAAAGCCATTTTGTGGAATGTTTGCTATGGAGAGATAACATTGATTTGTTGTAAATACGTCAATTATTATGATTCAGAGTAAAAATAAACAATAGAGAATATATAATACAAAAAAAGGGAAAATATAATATTTATAAAATATGAATAATGATTTAAGCCATTGAAATGTCCAGTGTTTGTCTTTGTTTAAGGTTTGTCTAAAAGGATCTGAAATTCTGCCCCAAAATAAAATGTTTTATTCCCTATTTCTTTGCAACCTCATGGTGTAAACCTTTATTATTTCAAACAATTTATCTAATAAAATTCATAGTCTATGACATTGGGTGGCTAAGATATAGGGATTCATGAACTTGAGTTTGCAGCTAAAACTCATAAATAAAAATGATTGTATTGCACAATAAAAAATGATTGTACTGCACAAAGAAATTAGTTGTTTACTTTTATTTGTTAAGTTACTGCAACCTGTGGTGGAAGTACAAATGTGAACGGAACATATTTTCAAAATTCTGGATACCCCTCAACTTTTAATAGGTAGGATATCCTTAACCTTATACCTGGATACCCCTCAACTTTTAATAGGTAGGATATCCTTAACCTTATACCTGGATATCCCTCAACTTTTAAAAGGTAGGATATCTTTAACCTTATACCCCCTCAACTTTTAATAGGTAGGATATCCTTAACCTTATACCTGGATACCCCTCAACTTTTAATAGGTAGGATATCCTTAACCTTATACCTGGATATCCCTCAACTTTTAAAAGGTAGGATATCTTTAACCTTATACCTGGATACCCCTCAACCTTTATTAGGTAGGATATCTTTAACCTTATACCTGGATACCCCTCAACCTTTAAGAGGTAGGATATCTTTAACCTTATACCTGGATACCCCTCAACTTTTAATAGGTAGGATATCTTAAACCTTATACCTGGAAACCTTCAACTTTTAATAGGTAGGATATCCTTAACCTTATACCTGGATACCCCTCAACTTTTGATAGGTAGGATATCTTTAACCTTATACCTGGATACCTTCAACTTCTAATAGGTAGGATATCCTTAACCTTATACCTGGATACCCCTCAACTTTTAATAGGTAGGATATCCTTAACCTTATACCTGGATACCCCTCAACTTTTAATAGGTAGGATATCCTTAACCTTATACCTGGAAACCCCTCAACTTTATTGAGAGGTCTAGGCGATCTTTATGACTTTTTTAAATTATCAAAATTTTGATCGTTTGTTTTTATTTAGTGTTGGTTCCTGTCAGCTAACGATTAATAAATGTGCTTCAGATGTTTGTCAGCTCAGGTTGGTTTAAGGGGATTTAAAGGATTGATGGATGATAATGAAAAAGGGCCATGGTTGATACCAAAACTATGTAATTGTAAGTTTGAAACCAACGTTTCTGTAACAAAAAAATTTGATTCTAGCAATCTCAAATTTCTTCAATCTTAAAGGGATACACTTTCTTTCAGGAACAAAAAAACATTTAATGCTAACTTTTTCCATAACCTATATTAACGTTAAATTAATCACCGTTTTTCTTCTTTCCATGCTTAATATCTATATGTATAAGGTTGTATTCTCTGATCATCTCTCCGTTTGTTTATCCGATCATAACTCATGAACTCCTCCATTAATTTGCCTCAAATTTTGATTGGGGAACTCGAGAGAACCAAGAGAATGTTCTAAACTTGGTTTTGAGAGTCTAAATTGAGTGGATCGACCAAAATAGTAAAATCGACCAAGTGCTGGTAAACGGTGGGAGTAACTATGAGTAACCTGGGCAATGCTGGGATCCTAAGCTAGTGCTGTATATTTTAATTATTAAGATTTCTAAATTTGTTGTTGTTGTTGTTATTTTCCAAAAATTATTAGATTGCTTTAAAGTTTATAATGCTCTTTTTTTACTTTTCTTTGGTGTTCTCTATTTTCCAAGCTTAATATATAAAAAATATATTTTTTAATTGTCCAGGTTTCCATCACTGTTAGATTTATTAAAAACACTATGCTTGTTCAATCAATTGTTACAATTATAATTTCCATCCGTGGCGGTGATTTCTAATGGGGGCGTTGCCTTAACTGCTACTGCATGCTCTTATTATTATTATCACTTTTTTATATCTTGAGAAAGTTTTTTTTTTTTTAACCTTTATTTTCCAGACTTGATATCCTCAGTATGACACTCAGCGGGCCTGAAACTACAGACAATCAATGCCAGGCAAGATCTTTATGAACATTACACTTGGTTAAAAAAAGAGCATTGCATCTTAAAAAAGAACACCATACGCTTAACTAAAGTAAATTGTGCAAAAAGTTGAAATCTTCCATGTTTTTAAATATAATACTATTGAAGAGCTATTGAGAAAAAAATGCTTTGAATTTCTGATATGGAACTGGATAAAGCTTTTCACATACTGTGCATAAAATAAAGAAAAACTAGATGATCTACAAGGTCATTAAGTCGTAATAGTAATATCACATACACTTAACCTGTTCCTTCAGTCAATGTTATTCATGATAAAACGTTATGTTTTCATGATATTTCAAGGTGTGGTTAGGATCTATATTTAATTCTAGCTTTAAATTTAGCTTTAAGTAGTAAATTGATTAAATCTTATATACATATTTTAGCATAAAAATAATGAGATAAGTTATATTCATAATCAAATATGAACAAATATATATATTTTAGGGAGATCAATATATATATATTTTAGGGAGATTAATATATATACATATTTTAGGGAGATCAATATATATATAGATTTTAGGGAGATCAATATATGTATATATATTTTAGGGAGATCAATATATATATATATTTTAGGGAGATCAATATATATATATTTTAGGGAGATCAATATATACATATGTATTTTAGGGAGATCAATATATATACACTTTAGGGAGATCAATATATATATACTTTAGGGAGATCAATATATATATACTTTAGGGAGATCAATATATATACTTTAGGGAGATCAATACATATATATATACTTTAGAGAGATCAATATATATACACTTTAGGGAGATCAATATATATATACTTTAGAGAAATCAATATATATACTTTAGGGAGATCAATATATATACTTTAGGGAGATCAATATATATATATTTTAGGGAGATTAATATATATACATATTTTAGGGAGATCAATATATATATAGATTTTAGGGAGATCAATATATATATTTTAGGGAGATCAATATATATATATTTTAGGGAGATCAATATATATACTTTAGGGAGATCAATATATATATATATATTTTAGGGAGATCAATATATATATTTTAGGGAGATCAATTTATTGTAAGTGGAGGCTCGCCTCTACCAGCCATATGCGGGGTGAACACCGGACAGCATAGTGAGTATTTTTTTCAGATTTTTCATTTCTTTTTGAAAATATTACAGTGAAAACGTAAAAACTTTTTTAGACTCAAGTTCTATCTTTAAACAGTTCATCTTAATTCTATCTGTTGCGTCTGTAAGGAGAAAATTGTTAAAAACGACTCACACCGAAGAACGCAGCATCCATACAAATTCGGAAAGATGCAACATTCAACTCGGATCGTAAACAAATCAATTTAATTCCAAACAAATCATTCAGATATTACAAAACAGTAGTCATGGATTATTTGAAATAAAAAGTGATGCAACTACGTATAAATGACGTCTGTATATAAATTTTGTTTCAGTGTATGTTGATATGGGACTATCCTCAAATTCTCCCATAGTACTGACTGTTGTAACATCAGGAGCTTCTTTTCAAAGATCATTCTCAGTCAAAGTTACGCAGATAGAGTGCTCATCTCTTTCTAAAGGTATAAAAACAGGAGTTTTGGAATTTCAACAAAAAGTTAAAATGAACATTTAATTGATGCAGGTCCAATATACATTGTATTAATTCGTATTACTTTACATTAGTTTTTATGTGCTCAGTTTTTGCTACAAGAAAGTCTGTTTTTTTCTTTTGAGCACAGCTATTTTCTTTGTTCCCCGTGTAAACCCAAGAGGTCTAATTCATAGACTACTGTGACTTTCCTGACTTACTGGTCGACAAAATCAAGATGAAGCATGGAATCTCTGTAACTTGATACAATTTTGTAAATATATTCCTCCCCCACACTACCCCCCCTACTTCCCTATTTCCATTTTTAGCCTGGATGTATAATTTAGCTGACAACCTGACCAAGAAAGTTATACCTCAATATATCCTTTTTAATTAACACATGTGTTACCCCTCCAATATGCTGCTTCCCTTTTCCCCATTATTGGCTAGATGTCTAATTTAGTTAGAAAAAAGTCACTCCTCACGATACATCAGGATCAAATATCAAATATGTTTTCAGCTGTGAGAAGATTTCCCCTCTTCTACCCCCCCCTTACCCCTGCACTCTGTTAACATATACATATGTTTGTGCATGTCTAATTTTGTGTGTTTGTAAAATATACAAGCTGTTGACTTAAAACTTAAATCTTTTTAGTTTCTATTTTCACCACTAGGTGTCCCTGAAAGTTTTCTGTAAAATTTAAAAAAGTAAGAAAATTTAAGATTCAATTTTCTTATTAAAAGTTTATATTTTAGAAGTGAAGATTTGGGATTAAAATAATTTTAACTTTTTCTAAATATAATAATTTCATTAAGAAAATGCACTAGATTTTCTCTCAGGATGTTTTATATATCTTTTAAGACTCTTTTAAATCATATCAACCTATGGTTAGCTCTATGATGAAATGTTTACATTGAAATAGTAAATCATTTCTGAAGTGATCTGGTTAGGGGTAACCTTTGGAGGCGCTTATAAATGACATGCTATTATCTGAGTGACATCTAAACGCTGATAATTCAAATTGACGTGTATTTACACTAGCTTTTAAATTCAAATAAGCTAGCTTTTAATCAACCTAAAAGAGACTAAATAAGTTAACAAACTGTCCAAGCTCTCAGCTAGCAGCTGCAGCTACTAAAAATAAACACATGGCAACAAGATGATTTATGATGGGGGTAATGCACAGAGGTGGGTATGAAACCCGAACCTTTCCGTTTTGAGGTATAGCTAGATTGTTGGTAATCGAGGCCCAAAAAGTCAGAAACACTACTAATGATTCATGTACTTTTAGTCTGCTAATTCCGCATGATAAAAGTCAACTTTTAGTCAGAAGAGGGTGACTTGGAGTTTTATTTTATTGTTTTATTTTGTGCACAGCTGTTTTTCCTTTGTGCATGCACAGTTGTTTTTTCTTTGATCTTTGAGAAAAGCCGATTTTTTTAGAACTGCTGTTTTTTTCAGTTAAGCTGTTTTTTTTTCTTTCAGTTAAGCCGTTTTTTCCTTTCTTTACAGTTTTTTTTGCCTAACTGTACAGCTGTTTTTTTCCTTTGTATACAGCTGTTTAATCCTTTGAGTACAGCTGTTTTATCCTTTGTGTACAGCTGTTTTATCCTTTGTGTACAGCTGTTTTATACTTTGTGTAAAGCTGTTTTATCCTTTTGTGTACACCTATTTTATCATTTGTGTACATCTGTTTTATCCTTTGTGGACAGCTGTTTTATCCTTTTTGTACATCTGTTGTATCCTTTGTTTACAGCTGTTTTATCCATTGTGGACAGCTGTTTTATCCTTTGTGGACAGCTGTTTTTTACTAAAAGATAATGATGCACAAAGAACAATTTCATTTTTCCAATTTTCTTTTAGCTTCTGATGGGTGTGTCCAATACTTCACTGGAGTCAATGGACAGTTTTCTAGCTTTAACTTTAATGCGGGATCTGGTCTGCAGCTTTCAAATACCGACTATACTGTCTGTATCAGGTAATACAGCTTTAAAATACCGACTATAATTGTTTGTACTAGGTAATCAAGTCTTCAAATATCGACTATACTGTCTGTATCAGGTAATGATCAGCTTTTAAATACCGACTATACTGTCTTAATCAGGTAATCCAGCTTTAAAAAAACCGATTTTACTGTCTGTATCAGGGAATTTAGCTTTTAAATACCGACTTTACTGTTGGCATCAGGTAATGCAGCTTTTAAAAACCGACTGTGCTGTCTGCATCAGTTAACTCAGCTTCTAAATACTGACTTTACTGTCTGTATCAAGTAACACGATGACCATTGACCAATGACCATGCATCCTATATTTCAACTTTGTATTTAGGATGGAGCGAAATTTCTGTGGTATTCAATATTCTGCTTGCATTGTCTCAACTGCAAGTAAGAATTATTATAAAGGAACTTTCTTATCCCTGTATATTTGCCACCTGATAGTTAAACTTTGACTACATTTGATGTAACATAATTCATCGTTTGAAATATCAAAGCTCTATGATATCAAATTTCAAAGATATAAGGAATATAAATAAGTTCCATTTATATATATTTTATTTGATTTTATTTCAAAGGTTTTTTTTCCAATGAATTTAAAGAAATTGATCAGTGATCAATGAGCCCAAATTTTATGTGTGATCTGACTCTAAGAATGATTTTGGGTTAGGATTGTGATAAAAATCTTCGAAAAAGTTTCAAAATTTCATCAATATAAACGTGAAAGTAAATATTAAAAATGATCTTAGTTAAAAAAAAATTCCTAGTCAAGTGTTTTTCAAAGCTGTCAAGTGTATGTGGGACAAAGTGTTTGTAAATGATAATATAATTGAATTATAAAACATATTATATATAATAATATCCTATATTTAATTTTTTCTATTTTTAGCTGGAACTGCTATAACAACAACAACGCCAAGAGCTTTCTCAATTACTGGCGGAACTCCTACAGTTGGCAGCGTCGTCGGGAATTCGGTAATATTAGAAATATTTACCGGGGCTAAAGTCCTTTTTGCCCCCTTCCCCATTAATCTAACTTTAATCTGATCTTGCGTATTTTAAAATTGATATAATTTGTTGGGCAAAATGACAGAATTAAACACTTTTTTTGAGAAGCAGGATATTGTTGTTGCTGGGATGAGGCTCAAGGGTGCCGTAGTTTTTAACTTAAAACCTTCTTTTAAACTGGAGAATACAATTTTACCGAGCCCCCCCCCTCTTTTTCTCAATAATCATTCATATATATAATTACACAAATAATGATTATTCAATAATTAGTAATTTGACCTTCTGTCCAACAAAAAATGTTGGCAACATTATTCCAAACATTTCCGCAAACTTTTTAATGATTCAAAACTTAACATTTATTTATTCACAAATTTCGTTTTCTTTTTTGATTTACTTAATTTAAAAAAAAAAAAATTTAATAATAATCGATTTGAAAATATATGTCTTTTAGTTGTTTATTTTTCTGTGCAAATTAATTCAATGATGCAAGCGAAAAAATTAATCTTCAATTTTGTTCAATTTTTTTAAAACTTAATTTAATTTGTTTGTTGTTCAGTGTTTGACAGATTGGATAACTATTCCCTGCGCTACAAATACAAATGATCCAACTACACAATCTGGTAGTCCTGTAGTCTGCGTAGACAGGTATATAAAGTCCTGTAGTCTGCGTAGACAGGTAGATATAGTCCTGTAGTCTGTAGACAGGTAGTTGTATAGTCCTGTAGTCTGTAGATAGGTAGATATTTATTCCTGTAGTCTGCGTAGACAGGTAGATATATAGTCCTGTAGTCTGTAGATAGGTATATATAGCCCTGTAGTCTGCGTAGATTGGTATATTTATATAGTCCTGTAGTCTCTAGATAGGTATATATAGCCCTGTAGTCTGCGTAGACAGGTAGATGTAGTCCTGTAGTCTGTAGACAGGTAGTTGTGTTGTCCAGTAGTCTTCGTAGACAGGTAGATATATAGTCCTGTAGTCTGCGTAGACAGGTAGATATAGTCCTGTAGTCTGCGTAGACAGGTAGATATATAGTCCTGTAGTCTGTAGATAGGTATATATAGCCCTGTAGTCTGTGTAGACAGGTATATATATATAGTTCTGTAGTCTGTAGACAGGTAGATATATAGTCCTGTAGTCTGAAAATAGGTAGATATATAGTCCTGTTGTCTGTAGATAGGTAGATATATAGTCCTGTAGTCTGTAGATAGGTAGATATATAGTCTTGTAGTCTGCCTAGACAGGTGTATATATAGTCCTGTAGTCTGTAGACAGGTAGATATATAGTCCTGTAGTCTGTAGATAGGTAGATATATAGTCCTGTAGTCTGTAGATAGGTAGATATATAGTCCTGTAGTCTGCGTAGACAGGTAGATATATAGTCCTGTAGTCTGTAGATAGGTAGATATATAGTCCTGTAGTCTGTAGATAGGTAGATATTTAGTCCTGTAGTCTGTAGACAGGTAGATATAGTCCTGATGTCTGCGTGGACAGATATATAGTCGTGTAGTCTACGTAGACAGGTAGATATAGTCCTGTAGTCTGTAGATAGGTAGATATATAGTCCTGTAGTCTGTAGATAGGTAGATATATAGTCCTGTAGTCTGTAGATAGGTAGATATTTAGTCCTGTAGTCTGCGTAGACAGGTAGATTTATAGTCATGTAGTCTACATAGACAGCTAGATATATAGTCCAATAGTCTGTAGATAGGTAGATATATAGTCATGTAGTCTGCGTAGACAGGTAGATATATAGTCCTGTATTCTGTGTAGATAGGTAGATATATAGTCCTGTAGTCTGTAGATATGTAGATATATAGTCCTGTAGTCTGTAGATAGGTAGATATATAGCCCTGTAGTCTGTGTAGATAGGTAGATATATAGTCCTGTAGTCTGTGTAGATAGGTAGATATATAGTCCTGTAGTCTGTGTAGATAGGTAGATATATAGTCCTGTAGTCTATAGATAGGTAGATATATAGTCCTGTAGTCTGTGTAGACAGGTAGATATATACTCATGTAGTCTGTGTAGATAGGTAGATATATAGTCCTGTAGTCTGCGTAGACAGGTATATATATAGTCCTGTAGTCTGTGTAGACAGGTAGATATATAGTCCTGTAGTCTGTGTAGACAGGTAGATATACAGTCCTATAGTCTGTGTAGACAGGTAGATATATAGTCCTATAGTCTGTAGGTAGGTAGATATATAGTCTTGTAGTCTGCGTAGACAGGTAGATATAGTCCTGTAGTCTGTAACAGGTAGATATATAGTCCTGTAGTCTGTAGACAGGTAGATATATAGTCCTGTAGTCTGTAGATAGGTAGATATATAGTCCTTTAGTCTGTAGATAGGTAGATATACAGTCCTGTAGTCTGTAGATAGGTAGATATATAGTCCTTACACAATTTTTTTGGATTTTTTAAAACATAAATTAATTATTTTTGAATGTGATATTATTTTTAGAATCTGTGGGATGGTTTTCAATTCTGTTACAACCCCTAACACATCACCCAATGTACCTGTTTACAGTAAGTACTAATATCCGTCTTTTGACACACTGAGTTCAGAAACGTTAAATTTGTAAAAGTTCCTGAAATAAAAAAATTCTTAAATTATGGAAAAATGGAGAAATGCCGCGGTATTTAGCGGTTCAAGAATCAACAGCCAAGACACAATTTTGATCATGCTTTTAAAAAAAATTTAAAAAAATTACCAAACCTTATGATCTCCGTTCTTTTTTAAATCGTTGATTACTGACTGAGTTAATTTGTTTCAATTTTGTTCTATGATAAATGTTGCTTCTCAGTAGTTACTATTTAATTTTATGCTGGTGCAAAGTTAAAAAGGATTTGACACTTTTGATGAAATTGTTTCACCCTTAGTTTCATTTACTTTAAGTTTTAGCAATACGATTAAAGCTTAGGAGGAATTTTCAGATTCCTATTATATTAGACATAAAAATAAATATTTGATAAAAATATTGTCATATTTTTTTCTTGCTTTTTTTTCTATTTATACACTTTAAAATCAAATTCCAGTTATAAAATGGTAGTTGGAACGAGACCAGATGGCTCATTTTTTAACTTGAGAACAATATAAAAATAATGTAAAATAACAAATTTTAAGAAATATTTTTTTTTTAGGTTTTTCCAAGCCGTTTAACGTATTTGTACACACTGATAGCTTGGAGGGTAGTTCTGCTCCAGCTGAATCTTTGAACAGGTTTTTTATTTATAAAATACTAGCTGAAGGGCCCGGTGTTGCCCGTGGCAAAAAAAAATTAGATTTTTTTTTTAAATTAAAAAAAGTATTTTCGATTTTTTTAGCCTATAACATCCCCCGGCCACCCATGAGTATCCACAAAAAATGTCACCCCAATCGGTCCAGCCGTTTGGCCGGCTATAGACAACATGCATATACGAATTTCTTGTTTTATTATATAGATAGAATATCCTTTAAAATAATATAACTTCAGCAAAAAAACATGGCACATGTTAACATTTAGCCTTTAGAAATAAGGTTTTCACTTTTTTACTATTTCAAAAAAAAAACATTTTCTTGTAGAACAATAATTTATTCTTCGTCATATTTCTTCTGTTCGAAAATACAATCAATAAATTCGGACTGACAGCGTAATTCAAAGTGACCCCCCATGAAAAGATGGCAATGCTCGACGTTTTTGTTTATTAAAACTGTTTATTTTCATTTGCGGTTTCTCTCCGAAATGGTTATAAGAAGCAGTACAGAAATTATCATAATCAAACAGTTTTAGAGTTAGAAATACGACGGTGTACTTGTCCTGTACTGTACTGTATTGTACTGTACTGTACTAATCAGATAAAGGTTTTAATCTTTGTATTGCGGGTCACATGAAATTAGGCGTACTGTCCCTTTTAGAAACCAACCAATAGAAGTGGGATAATTTTTAATTCATATTTATTTGAGAATTGAATATTAATTTGTAACAATTTCAGAGGATTTTGTTTGAACTATGTCCAGCAGCCGTGTACCTCATCAACTGGATAGATAGATAATTCTGAAGTTTTGGCGGGAAAACCATTTTTTTGGCGGGAAACTAAATCTTTCAATATTGTATTACCACGTGAGTTTGCAAGGTCTCAGACGTATATTTCAGCTGAAAAAGTTAACAATTCGTAATTTACACAAAAATAATCTTAGGTTAAGTATAACCGTGTGAAATGTTTTCTTTGTTAAAAAATAAAAATTTAGTCATTACATTTTTTTACAAAAATTCAAATCCAATTTTTATATAACTGAAAAATATCTAAAAAAAGAATTTAGTTTTTTTTAACATTTCCAATTATTTGTTGTTTTTTATTGTTTTTTGTTTGTATTTGAACATTTGCTATGTTACCAAAGACCTTTAATAATACTGAGACTACAAGACTTATAAAAAATTGTATAAAATATAAAAATCTAACCCCCCCCCCCTCCCCCATAAAGACAGATTCAGAAATGTTTTAAAAGTTAAATTTATTAAATTGCATTACCCCCCCCCTGCCCCTCTTTTTTTAAAATGTTTGATTTTTGTAAATGTTTTTATTTGTCAATTGGGGTAATCCAATATGACAAAAAATTTTGTTATTTTTTCTCTTTTCAACATTTTTGTTAAAAAATTGAACTTTTTCAATTTGTTTGTTCACGTTTACAGTTTTTATAATGTTAAATATGATGATGTTATTGTTTTGAAATAAAGTTTACAAATTTTCTAATTTTTATTTAAAAATTAAACATTTTAAATAAATGAAATTTATACACGACTATAATTAAAAATCAACGACAAAAATATTGATTTATTAGTTTTATAAAAATAGATTTTTTATATATTTGTTCAATTAGGCAATGTGTGCATGGACAGTAAAAACCTTTATACAAGATAAATATTGTAATCTGGGAACTTATGAATTGTTGAGCTCTACTCCGGTTCTTTTGATGTCTGAGACGGAATTTATTGAATTTGAGGTAGGTTGCTTAACTGCATACTGTCTATTCAAATACATCTAGTAATTATCCTATAAAACTGTGGAATAGGGCTCTGATGTGTGTTTAATGTTTTTAAATTTTATTGGTATACCCCTGACCACTGTAGATATTTTAAGTCTCAAAACCCAATGTTAAATAAATATCAAACTGAGCTAAAGATATTTGTTTGAATATTTCCAAGGTATTATTAATGCAAATTTTTGGAGACCCAAAATTTTCTCCAACATTGTATCAAGTAAATATAGTATTTATATCTGAAAAAATTAATAACCATGCTTAAAAGTATTGCATTAAAGATATCAGTTTTAATGGAATGCAAAATTAGCGAAGATTACTTCTTAAAGAGTTTAAATAGAAAAACAAATATTCAAACCCAATCGACATTAAAAAAGTTTTTTTTGAGACACTCTTTATATCCTGGTAAGATAAGATTATTGGAGACCAATTAGGGAATATAAGAGTAGTTTCCGTCAGAATTATTTATGTCCTTATTTACTTATATCTAGTCCATTCAAGGTTTCCACTAGCGGAGGGACTAATTAGGGAATATAAGACTGGTTTCCGTCAGAGTTATTTATGTCCTCATTTACTTATATCTAGTTCATTCAAGGGTTCTACTAGCGGAGAGACAAAGTTTACAGTTAGAACCACAAAAAAGAGGAATCCTTGCTACATTCAGTATTTCCAATTTCGTAATTTCCAATTGATATATTTTCAAAAAAGTGAAGTGAATATTTTTTAAATATGTCATTTATAACAATTGCATATTGCATTCTTCCGTAGTTTTCTGGTTCTCCCGATAAATGTTTTATTTTTAACACAGCGTTTAACCTAAATTTGAGGTTCTTAAACAGGGTTACCCACAAAGAATGATACTGAGTAATTAAGCCTTCTGCCTTGAATTTAGTATTTATATGTTTTTTTTCAATGATTTAACAAAGAAAGAAATAAGTTGTTGCATGGAATCATAAATAAGAAAACATTCAGTTTAGATTCCGTACAGTCGTCTCTGAAGTCTTATCCATCGCGGGTAACCCTGTATATAAAAATATGTATCAAATGCATAATAATTTCTAACTTTTAGATTCCGTTAAAAAATACATTTTAGATGATTAAATATTTTATTGGGCAGACCAAATCTTTAGTTGGTATTAAACTGACTGCAGCTTTATTACATTAATAATCAGGGATTTTTAGGAAATATCATAAATGATCTAATTAATTTTTCTATATTATATATACTTTTTAAAAACATGTTAAATCCCCCTAATCTAAGCGTTCGGTGTGTACAGCAGTCATCTGCAGTACATTGAACGAAGAAATTGCGGATTTTGGTGGAGAGTGAAATTGGTAGTTCTTGGTAAGAATTTGTATGTTTATAAAAAATGTAAAAAAAACGAAATGTTTAGATTATCAAGAAAATGATAGATATACAGCTGGTTGGATCAATTCCAGACCTTTGCACAAATTGTACAGAACAGCAAATCACAATGGAGTCTAGGGTATGAATAGAATAAATAAAATTTACAAAAATTAAAAATCGAAATAAAAGTTAAAACTTAAAATCTTTTATTATCCTGATTTAAAAAAAAGTTTTTGTATCCGAATATGTTACAATGTGATCCTTACACAGAATACAGAATTGTGTTGGTTTGTTTAAAGATTTGACAAACAAACAAAAAAGTTTAGGGTTGCAGGGAATCATGAACTATATACACTTAAATCCAAAATAAGCCAAACATCAAAAGAATTCATCAAATGTCACTTTCTGATAATGAAATGTTGCAGATATTTAGTTTTTTAATTAAATAATTATAAAAAAAGATTTACGTAAAATAGTATAAAACCCATCGAGAAATTGTCAAGACAACTTTTAATAAATTCTTTCGATGTATATGGCTAATTTAGGGTTTAGTTGTAAATAGTTCATGATTCCGTATAACCGCAAACTTTTTTCTTTGTTTGTCAAATCATTAAACAAGCCAATACAATATTTAAGGCAGACGACTCTAATTTAACCTTGAGATCGTCTTTCTGGTCGTCTTTACAGTCTCATCCTTTGTGGATAACCTTGTATTTTGTTTTTTGCAGATAAATCTGGTAATATATGGAATCCTGGGCCCTGTTGTTATTTTGTTTGGTTTGGCAGGAAATCTACTGAACGTTATCGTTTTGTGCAGGAAATGAAAAAAAACTAAATTTTGAACTTTTTCCTTTTTTTAAAAAATTTTGATCCTTCAAGAGAATCACGCACCTCTACCCCATTATTAAAAGTAAATTCAACCTATATGAAGAATAAAGTATGACCGCGTCATCCTTGTTGCACCGGCTAGTCCTGTTGATTGTCTGCTTTATTAACCCAATGTCCGTGCGGTACGGTACAAACTTGGATCGGAAAGGTTGACCGAGCTCGGAAATTCAAATGTACTAAGGCTACCCGTGGAATGTAAACGTAATTCTTTTTTAAACCTTATTTTCAATTAAATTCTCACAATTTCCCTCGATCAGGGTTTCTGCAGCATAAATGCGCAAAGAGAATTGCTCTATTTAAAGGGTAATGTTGTGAATCGGACATGAAGGGTCACTTGAACTTACATTTATTACAACAATTTGCATGCACATATATTTGACATTAATTTGAACATTTAATACACACATAATTCATGAACAACTTTTTATATCTTTTTTATTTATATTTTAAGTAATTTTCTTTTTAAAAAACAGTGTTTTTTTCTTTTAAAGAGATGAATACAGTGATTTTATGTATATGTACATGAAGGTAAGCTAAAATACTAGTTAGCTGGGGGTGGTATTTATTTCCTTATTTACTTATATCTAGTCCATTCAAGGGTTCCACTAGCGGAGGGACTAATTAGGGAATATAAGACTGGTTTCCGTCAGAGTTATTTATGTCCTCATTTACTTATATCTAGTATTCATGTTGGATTTGCCACTAGCAAAATAAAATCGAAATAATTTCAATAAAATAAATAAAACTGGCAGGTCAAGGCGCCACGCTGGAATTTTGTATAATAGGAATTGAGTCTTTGCCACAAAAACTAATTTTCTAATCCCTATATCATTGCAGCCCAATGTCGGAGACCTTAGATATTTCAAACTTTTTATTCTGTTAGTTAAAATAATCTAAGTTTGTAATATCTAAGGCTTACGCCTTCTGGTTGCAAAAATATAGGAATTGGAAAATTCGAGTTTGTGGCAGAGCTCAATTCCTTTATATCAATACATAAATTTGATCTAGGGGCTGGCAGTGGCAGATATTGGATACCTACTCATGGCGTTGCAGGTAACATTATCATTAATTTTAGTCAAAATATTCATCGTTTCTTTCGATAAATTGTCGAGTTTAACTCGAAAACACTTTTTTCCAAGAACTACTCTAATTTGTGATCTGAAAAATATCGAAATATATTTAGGATTAACCTCGACTGTTAAAGTTGAGAATTCTACACTAGTTTCTAACTTGTGTTTTTATCCAGTTCTGTTTGCTGGGTAGAATTATATATTTTGAATTTAGATGTGTATTTTTCAAGCAACCCTAGGAGATATTATTACCGCTGTTTGCTGGGTAGAACTAATTAGGGAATATAAGACTGGTTTCCGTCAGAGTTAGTTATGTCCTCATTTACTTATATCTAGTCCATTCAAGGGTTCCACTAGCGGAGGGACTAATTAGGGAATATAAGACTGGTTTCCGTCAGAGTTATTTATGTCCTCATTTACATATATCTAGTCCATTCAAGGTTTCCACTAGCGGAGGGACTAATTTTGGAATATAAGACTGGTTTCCGTCAGAGTTATTTATGTCCTCATTTACTTATATCTAGTCAATTCAAGGATTCCACTAGCGGAGGGACTAATGATGGAATATAAGACTGGTTTCCGTCAGAGTTATTTATGTCCTCATTTACTTATATCCAGTCCATTCAAGGAAGGAGATATTATTACCGCTGTTTGCTGGGTAGAATTATATATTTTGAATTTAGATGTGTATTTTTCAAGCAACCCTAGGAGATATGATTACCTCTGAGGCCCTCGGTATCTATCAGTATCAGGTTTAAAAAAAATGTTTTTTAAACGAAAAATGTAAAATCATTTCTAAATTATTTTAAACAGAAAAATATATTTTTAAAGCAACTGCCTTTGTATTTAAAGAGGTTTTAAAGAGTACCTCTTAATCAAAATGTTACTTTTGCAAAGTGTTTAATCTTATAGATTTCCTCAACTGTTTTCTAAGCAGAAATGCACGTACACAAGTCACTTTTTAAAGACAAACCATGGACATAGGTTTCTCATTCAATCTTGAATAGCCTTACCTTACCCTGTACATTTTTATGAACTTCTGAAACTGTTTAGAATATTAAAAATAACTTTTGGTTAACAATGCTTATTTTTTAAGATTCTTGGCCCTTTATGGAACGCATTTCTGGCGACCAGCGATTTCATCGTCGTTTGTATGACGATAGATAGATACAGGCATTCATTTTTAAATATGATTAAAAATCTGATAAAATGTTGTCATTTGTTATTTTTGAAAATGCACCAATCTAAACAGAAACATTCGAGAAAACTTGAGAACAATTAAAAACAGCGAATTTCAAATCCTAGTTTATATAAATAAATACAAACGGGCCTCAACCTTTCGCTCCAGTAAAGAAAATGTAAATTTTTATCTGGAGATAAACATTTTCGACAAAAGCTAAATTTAATGATTATTTAAAACAATTTTTCATTGCAGGACATTGAATAACATTGAGAAAGTCAACCTGAGAGAAAGAATGCGAAAAAGGTTAATTTTTATGAATTATGAAAAAAATAAGGGAACTTTTTTGAAGTTACAAGTTGAAAAAAGATTCTGTAGACATACTTTCAAATCACACTTAATTTGAGGCCGATTCAAAACAAAATGAATTCTCTTAATTTCCACCGCTGCCCTTTAAGTTCACAAAAAATAATTACTTTTTATTAAACGACATGTTAACCAAAGGAATTGAATTTTTGTTTCAATGTCTGATTTTCTAACACTTATTTTTAACTATGATTTCTGTTATATCAAATTATCTAAGTTTGAAATATCAAAAGTCTACTCCACTTATAGGTTGCAAAGTATAAAGATTATAAATTCAGAATTTGTGGCAAAAGCTAAATTTCTTTCTTAATTTAATTTTAATGTTTAGACGAAGAATTCAGATAATGTGTGAAATGTTCTTCTGTTTTACTCTAAGTTTTGGAACACATATTCCATTATTCTACCTTTATAATGTTACAAAGTAAGTTATTCATTTTGATTGAAAAAGTTTTGAAACACATATTCAATTATTCTACCTTTATAATGTTACAAAGTAAGTTATTCATTTTAATTGAATAAGTTTTGGAACACATATTCCAGTATTCTACCTTATGTTACAAAGTAAGTAATTTATATTAATTGAATAAGTTTTGGAACACATCTACCATTATTCTACCTTTATTATGTTACAAAGTAAGTTAATTATATATTAATTGAATAAGTTTTGGAACACATCTACCATTATTCTACCTTTATTATGTTACAAAGTAGGTTAATTATAATAATTGAATAAGTTTTGGAACACATCTACCATTATTCTACCTTTATAATGTTACAAAGTAGGTTAATTATATTAATTGAATAAGTTTTGGAACACATATTCCCTTATTCTACCTTTATAATGTTACAAAGTTAATTATTACTTTTGATTGAATAAGTTTTGGAACACATATTCCATTATTCTACCTTTATAATGTTACAAAGTAAGTAATTTATTTTAATTGAATATCATGTTTTGGAACACATATTCCAGTATTCTACCTCTATAATGTTACAAAGTAAATTATTCATTTTAATTGAATATCATGTTTTGGAACACATATTCCATTCTTCTACCTTTATAACGTTAGAACATGCATGGTAGTTAATTGAGCTCAGAATGCAGCATATAACAGAATTTTTTCAAGATTCTTAAAGGATTCATTTGAGACCTATAAGAAGTTTTTACGGCGGATAATTGTTCAGCAACAAATTCAATATTTAAAATCCTCCTGGATTGCCCATTCTGGAAAGATGATTTTGAGAAACGGTTTTATTAAAATTATTTAATAAAAACCATCCCTCCAAAATGAACAAAGCATGAAGAATTTAAAGATTGAATTTTCGCTCTTGCTGAACAAATATGAACTGTAAAAACAATTTATAGGTCTTAAATGAAATCCTAAAAAATTGCTGTACAATTATTGCATTCTCAACTCAACTACCATGTCTAGCCAGACACTCCCTTTGAGAACCTATAAACTCCCTTTAAGAACCTAAATACTCCCTTTGAGAACCTATAAACTCCCTTTAAGAATCTATAAACTCTCTTTAAGAACCTAAATACTCCCTTTAAGAACCTTAATACTCCCTTTAAGAACCTAAATACTCCCTATGAGAACCTATAAACTCCTTTTAAGAATCTATAAACTCCCTTTAAGAACCTAAATACTCCCTTTAAGAACCTAAATACTCCCTTTGAGAACCTATAAACTTCCTTCAAGAATCTATAAACTCCCTTTAAGAACCTAAATACTCCCTTTAAGAACCTAAATACTCCCTTTAAGAACCTTAATACTCCCTTTGAGAACCTATAAACTCCCTTTAAGCTTTCGGAAAAAAAGATTAAAACAATGTAAGATTTCAACCTACCATGAAATTTACTTAAATTTGACATAAACAAAGCTATATTTTCAAAAAATTTAAATTTAGTTTTGCAGGAAAAATGGTTGCAAAAAATTGTGCATAATGATAATGATAAATCAAATGCTTTGAACAGTATGGGCATTTCAAACATAATTAAATCTTCTCCCATCCTCTTGTTCAGTGTGAATTATGGGGGGAGAGGCGGGGGGATTGTTTCTCCCGCCCCCCTTAAGGTGATATCTTAAAAACTGTTTGATATAGAATGTACAAACTTTTTTTGATTTTGGTGAAATATCAATTGCACTAATAATCGATCGAACTATAAACGTACATTCGTACTAACGTTTTTCTGGACATAACGTTCATTCACACTATAGTGCGAATGAACACAATTATACTTGTTCAATCAAACTAAAATCCGAGTGGAATTGGCTTTTTGAGCACCATGGAGAACTATTTTTTTTAATTCTAGCGGAATTCGGCTCATTTAATCAATTTTAGCTGAGGAATGAACATATTTTTGTAGGAAAATTTTAAAATAATGTTCAATTGTACTACAGCTAAAAGTGTGGGTAAAGTCGAAGAATTAGTACAAATAAACATATTTTAGTGCAAATGAACAAAAAAATGTTCGATCGAACTAATTAAATACTAAATTCACCATTTTGCAGCTCATAAATTATTATTAGTACAAATAAAAATATTTTAGTGCAAATGAACAAAAAATGTCAAATCGAACTAAACTTACAAATTTCACCATTTTGCCCATAAATTAAAATAAGTACAAAAAACATATTTTATAGTGCAAATTAACAAAAAAATGTTCGATCGAACTAAAAATACTAAATTCACCATTTTACTCATAAATTATTATGAGTACATATAAAAATATTTTAGTGCAAATGAACAAAAAAATGTTAATTTGCACAAACTTTCAATTGCACTAATTAATTACAGAAAAAAAAATTAGTTCGTTTGAACAAATATTTTTAATATACCAGATCAATTGCACTAATGATCATTTGTACGTAATGGCATGGTAGAAAAATAATGATGTTCAATCGTACCCAGCTGGAAAATTATTTTTTCTTTCCACCGTTTTCTTATTTTCTACTGTGATCGGAACTCTTTTTTTCATCCGCAAATGTCTTTTTGTGGAG